AGGACAGTGATATCCTCCTCAGCTTGCAGGACTCATCTTTGGGGCTATGAAACCTTTTTTGGTTCAAAAACTTGTCTTTTTCTGGAGGATGAATTGTTTTTCAGAAAGGAGATTTCTAAAGCAGTTTGGACAGCAAAATTACTGCTTTTGGTGTCTAAATAGTGAAGCTGTAACTTGGTACAGCTGTCAGGATTTGCTATGACAAGCCCTGGTTAAAGTATTTGAGCTCAGCCTTGGTCTGATGCGTGACCTCTGAAGGCAGAAATAGAGAGATGATTTGCAAGATGTGAAGGGAAAATTTTAGGTTAGAAGTGCCTTCCTTTGGAGAAAGCCAGAAGTTCACTTTCTGCCAAGCAGAAGAGTGCAGCCAGTGGCCTGAGAGGTGAATAATTTGGAAAGGGACAGGAGGGCAATGTGCCCTGGAAAAAGGGAGCCCTGAGCAGGGAGCCCAGGCAGGTGCTCTGGGGCTGCTGCACTCCTCTGTGTGGTCACTCAGTAACTACATATAAATAAGGAGCTTTTCTCCTCTGGACACACACCATTTTTCCTGTGGAACCTACTGAATAAGGCTTTCAGCCTGCATGACCTTTCCCAGCTCCTCCAGATACAAAAGTACCATCTCATTATTGTAATATATTTTCATCTCCCTTGCAGTTATTTATAAACAGAGGGGTTAGATATCACTTTTTTTTTTTCCTCCTGTGAACAGCATTATAAATGAAGGATTTGTACTTGCAGTCTGAGCTGGAGTGTTTCCAGGAGCATTTCTCAGCTTGCTTGTGAGGCAGTTTTTGCTTGCCTGTGAGTGTCCAGCAGCAGTAACTGCTGTTAGGAGGGAGAGCAGGGCTAGGGCAGTGCCCCAGGAGGGAAGATCTGCTCCATCCCTGCTTTGGCCAGGCTCCCAGCAGCACCCAGGGGTGGTACAGCCTAGGCTGAGAGGGTGGAGGAATTTTTGATTTTACCTTGTCAAAGCCGAAGCTCAGAAACATCTGTGTCTTAGTGCTGGTGATTGCTGACACTCCTGACTGCATGAGCTCGTTTCCTGGCTTTTCAGGGTAAAAGAACGACCATATCAATGCAAGGCAGCTAAACATTTTAGAAGAAAGGAATAATTTAATGTAGATTGGGACAAGTGTGAGAATCAGGCTCATGGGATGACTTCACAGCTTGCTCAATGTTTTATTTCGTACTTTTAAATGCTATTTTCCTTAATAATAGCATTACAGCTTGATTAGAGTTTTTGTGCTGACTACAAAAACATCCCAAATCACTGTTTTACATTCCACATCATGCAGGAAGTCTGTAAACTTTCAAAAAGACAAGCTGAGGTAAGGTAAATCAGCCCTTATCTGAGCATTGGAATTAATTGAAAGAGTTTCTTAATTAATGAGGCCCAAGGTTTTGACAACCCAGGTACTTCCAACAAATTGCTCCTTGTTATGCCCTCAGATGGGAACACACCACATCCAGATGTTCAGGGACAGCTGGGTTGGGAGGTTTGTGGGGCTCTGATGTCTTTAAATACAAATTATTTTTCCTCCTTCACCACAGCCCTGCGGTGAGGCTGGAGATCATCCCAAGCCTGGTTTTGTGCTCTTTCGTGTGCTTTTTCCTGTTCTTTCCCTGCAGTTCACACCTGCAGGGGCAGGAGCTGCTCTCAGCCCTCGTGCAGCCATCCCTCCATCTGAGAGCAGCTCCTCTGGGCCTTTCCTTGTGGTTAAACCTGGCTCAAAGCTGAGCCCAGCCCCTGGAGGATCCCCTGGGCCCTTCCTTGTAGGTAAACCTGGCTCAAAGCTGAACCCAGCCCCTGTAGGATCCTCTGGGCCCTTCCTTGCAGTTAAACCTGGCTCAAAGCTGAGCCCAGCCCCTGTAGGATCCTCTGGGCCCTTCCTTGTAGGTAAACCTGGCTCAAAGCTGAACCCAGCCCCTGTAGGATCCTCTGGGCCCTTCCTTGCAGTTACACCTGGCTCAAAGCTGAGCCCAGCCCTGCCCTCACCCAGGACAAGGGGGAAGCTGGGCTGCAGTGCTGCTGCATTCACAAAGCTCCCACCTGGCTGATGTGAGTGTTGGTTCAGGAGCAGCACTCTCAGAGCCTCATCAGATTCTGGCTGTGCTCACCAGAGCAAGAGCAATTTCCAGCCCACAGATGCAGGGACCTATGCAGGTTATTTCAGGTTTCAGTGAATCTTGTACATTTTTGTTGTAGAAGAGATTACTTTTTTTTTCTCTTTTTCATTTCTAAGTCATAGAGGATTCACATTTTGTCTTGCCCTGCAGGGGTTTCTGGAGAAAGACTGAACTAAAACCCAGAGACAGAGTTTCTTAGAAACACGACATCAAAGAAATTGGAGAGAAAAAAACATATCTGTGTGATCATTATCTTCTTTTGGATTACTGTTGGCAAAACCAAACAGTTTGTTTTCTGGGGGGATGGAACACCTTTCCCACATGGAAAGAACTGTGTTTGTTCAGCCTGGAGAGGAGAAGGCTCCAGGCTGACCTAACTGTGCCCTTCCAGCACCTGGAGGTCCTGCAAGGTGCAGAGGAACTGTTCACAGGAGCAGGCAGTGGCAGGAAAGGGGGAATGGCTTCAAAGGGAAGGTTTAGAGCAGACATTGGGCAGGAATTGTTCCCTGGCAGGGTGGGCAGCCCTGGCACAGGGTGCCCAGAGCAGCTGGGGCTGCCCCTGGATCCCTGGCAGTGCCCAAGGCCAGGCTGGACATTGGGGCTGGGAGCACCTGGGACAGTGGGAGGTGTCCCTGCCATGGCAGGGGTGGCCCTGGGTGGACTCTGAGGTCCCTTCCAACCCAGCCTTTCTGTGATTTTTTGCCCATTTCCCCTGGTTTGCTCCTTGGACCCTCTGCATTTGTCAGTGACAGTAAGGGCACAGCGCTGCTCTGGATCTCTGCCAGGGCAAACACCAAGACAGAGCACTGCAAATCTGAATTCTCCCTGAGCAGGGAAACTCTGCAGGCTTAAGGACTGCTGAGAAACACTGATTTCAGAGTGACTTTACATCTGAAAAGCCTCAGCTCCCCTCCTCCTTCTGCAGAATTGTGAGCCACCTGCAGCCAGGGAAAAGGGTGGAGGCACCAGGAAATAAGGTCCTTGCATTTTGGACATGAATGTACCTGATGAGGAAATCACTTCTAAACTGCTCCATTTACCACACAGATTATTCCTATTTCAGGAATATTCTGTGCAGAATGCCTGTGCATGCCTGCTTTGGGGGATGAGGGATGACAGCATCTCTTTTGTAGGAATTATCTGGAGCTTTAAAGCTGTTCCAGTACACAGAACTCTTTTGTTTCTGTAATTGATGCTGTCCAGTCAGGGAAAAGAAATGTGTCTTTGGCTGGAAAAGAAAAAATACTCAAGAGCTGCATCATATTTCCTAGGAACAGGAACACCATAGCAACAGTTGTCTTTCAGTGCATCCCTTAAAGGCTCTCCGATTGCTGAGCTCTTCTGCTGGAAACCCAGCACACATGAGCTTGGCAGATAATTACACTAAAAACACACATACACAACACAACTTTTGTCTCTATTTATGTTTTCCCATGACCACATGGCACATTATTTCTCTCCTGTAAAAGGAATTTTAATGGGGAGTTTATTGGTTGAGCTGCTTCAGTTTGATAATCTCTGATGGAATACTTCATTTGGGTGGGAAGTTTTATTGTGTGTGTGTAAAATAGAAAATCCCAAACATATGTGAAAGGACTAGTTTTTATTAGATAAATGTGCTGTAGACAAGTTTTGGAAAGATATCATTCCTTTTTGTATTTTTTTATAATCAATGAATTTTTTTTAGCTTGGAATTTAATTAATAGTAAATTGAGATTGAAACAATAATACAGTGTCTCAAGCATCATAATTAAAACTTTTTGATTAATTTTTTTCCTTCAGTTTATGAAAATGTCAAGTCTATCCAAAATTGAGTCAGGAAAAATGTTTGAAAATTCTTCTAGGATGAGAAAGCTTTTTCCTGCCTAGCTCTGTTCTACTTATTACATATTAATACTGCCTGGCTCCCTTTGCTGGGTGGGGCTCTTTTGTCATTCTTTTATGAGAACTTGCATGGAAAGTTAAAACACATGCTGATTAATTTGAGTGGCCACACCACCCTGTCCTGCTTGCATTGACTCGGTCCAGGTCTAACACAGATCCTGGTGCAGTTACAGTTCAAATGTTCCTAAAAATTGCATTGCCTCCACAAGAGATGCCAGCAGGCAGAGGCTGAGAGCAGAGCTTTGCCCTCCTGCTGCTCACACTGGGTCTGTGCTGGGGTTTCCATGCTGGAGTGCCAGCCCAGCTCCATCCATTGCACAGAGCCCGTGATGGATCTGTCATTTCAATGGCTGTAAACTGCTGTGATGGATGGCTTCTCTGGTTTGGGTTCTCTGGTTTGCTGGGTCTCCCTGCACGGTGGTGCTTGCACAGGGATGGGAATGACTGGGAGCATCACTGGGAGAGAGCATCACTGCAGTATCTCTGCCAGTATCCCTGTGAGCATCACTGAGAGCATTGCTGCTGCATCCCTGGGAGCATCACTGCAGCATCGCTGCCAGCATCCCTGTGAGCATCACTGAGAGCATCACTGCAGCATCACTGCCAGCATCCCTGTGAGCAACTCAGGGCCCTGCGAGTTGCTGGGCTGAGCTGCCAAGGCTGCCCAAGCCCTGCAGCCACTGCAGGAGCTGCTGCTGCTGCTGCTGCTGAGGACCCGGGCTGTGACACAGGACAGGGATACTGTGGGCAGGGCAGAGCTGGTTGTGCTGAGTGTGACATCAACTCCCAGCTCTGTTCTGGTCTCTCTGTGTGTGACACCAGCTCACAGCTCTGTTCTGCCCTCTCTCTGTGCTGAGTTTGACACCAGCTCACAGCTCTGTTCTGCCCTCTCTGTATGCTCAGTGTTTCACCATCTCCCAGCTCTGTCCTGCTGTCTCTGTGGTGAGTGTGACACCATCTCACAGCTCTGTTCTCTCTCCTCGCTGCAGCTGACGAGAGAACACCAGGTGGCCCTCTCCTCCATCACTTACATCGGCTGTGCTCTGTCCATCCTCTGCCTGACGATCACCCTGGTCACGTTCGCCGTGCTGTCGTGAGTAATTTCAACTTCATCCCTGCTGGGCAGCCAGCACTCAGCAGGGCAAGCAGGACCCCTTCAGCTGCTCAGGATAAAACAAAGGCTATTAATTCTACAATCTTCCTTAATTAGATTCTGCACATGTATTTGTAACACTTGGTTGATTATTTCTAAATTACTTTCATTTCCTGAAATGGGATGGTCTTTATATAGCCAGCTATTTCAATCTCGTGAGAGATTTTGATTTTTTTTAGCTGTCCGTGCTTTGCTATAGTTCAGGAACCTTGCAAAGAGCCTTGTGGGAGGCCTTGGTCTGGACTGCAGTGCAAGGTGAGCAGGGATTGCAGGATCACCCCCTCTGTCCCCCACATCTCTGGGTTGCTCAGGGTACACAGACAGCACCTTCTGCTGTTCCACTGCCCTGTCTGTGAGGCAGGGTGGGCAGAAAGGAATGCCCAGTAAGGAAGTCTCAGTCAGCACTGGCTGCCTGACTTTATTTTCACACAGCTTGTACACAATTACCTCATGCAGCCCATGTTTATGTTCAAGTGTCTCGCTGTTCTCCATCACGCTGCTTTTCTGTGGTGCTTTACTGGGGTGAAGGACACTGTAAGCAGTGTAAAATTCGCTCCATGGCTCATGGTTAGGAACCTCTGACCCTCCTGCCCAAAGCAGGGCAGCCCTGTGAGGGCTCTCTGTGCTGGGACGGTTTCTGCCCCAGGGCACCCAGGACCTTTATTCCTATTTATGTTCCCCTGGTGACAAATGAGTTTGAGGCCCAGCTGGGCTTCATACAAACATTTCTGGAAAAAAGCTTTCATGAAGGTTTGTGTCTAAATAAGAAACAGAAAACCTGACTAAGGGTGAAGTAACTTGTCCAAGGCTGTGCAGCACTTCGGGAGTATAGCAAGGAGTGGGATTCTTGTCTCCTTTCACACACTAAACCATATTGTTCTCACTTAAGGATTTGATTCTTGTTTTCTTGTATTTTGGACATCCTGTTAAGAGGCCAGTTTCTAGGGAAAAGGACTAGCTGAATCTCAGTAAACTGATTGCAATGCTTGTTTTTTTTTTCCAGACCCCGTATTATTTCCAAATTTCGAGATCTGTGTTGGTCATACTTGGATTAAGAGCATAATGTGTGGCAAAATCCACTCTAAATAAGTCCAGCATCTGCCTATCTGACATTGTGCTGTTGGCATGTTTGGGCTAAGGGGAATGATCTGCTCCACTTTAGTCTGAGGGCAAAATTGGATGTTGGAGTGTTTAGAAAGGAAAAGGGAGCAAAAGGAGGAGGTGTTGCTGCAGCAGGGCTGAAAACTCCTCAAGCAGCTGGAGGCAAACAGAATACTTGGAAGAGAGCTTGGAGCCAGCTGACTGTCACAGGGTTAAGCACCCCACCTACATACAGCATCCTTCAAACTGCCAATTGAAAATAATTTGATTATCTTTTCACTGGAGAGCAGGGTCTCGTTAAGCAGCTGAAGGGGAATTTTGCAATGTGGTGTTGGATGACTGTGACCTAAGTGCAGAAGAATCTGGCGAGTTCTTTGCTTCTCCATGTCCTGGCAAGGGCAGCCCCTTCCCAGGGGGCAGTGAGCCGGGTGACACTGCCCAGCCTGTGGCACATGGAGCCACTCAGAACAGAGCCACCGGCACCACACAGAGCATCCCTGAGTTACTTTCAGGATCTCAGTACTTCTTGTGCTCTCCCTCTTCATTCCCATTCCATGGAGCAGGGCAGCAGGAGGGCGCATTGGAATAGGAACCTGTTATCACCAGCGCTGTTTGTTTTTCAAAGGGAACAGAATTTAAGGCAAGCCTGAGATGTTCAGATCAATGTTTTTGTTTTCTGTTTCTTATTTTGGGATGAGAACAGAAACACGAGGTCAGCAGACTTCCAGGAAAGCCTGTTCTTGTCAGATTTCCAGCTGGTTTCTGAAAAGCCAAGGGAGATATGTTCAAATGATGTTGAAACCGCAGTCAGGTTCCTGTCAAGGCAGGCACTGCCCATCTGTGTATGGAGCTATTGTTCTCAGAGGTTATATTTGTATAAATCAGAATTGGAACCAATGTCATTTCCCAGAAGGGCGAATACCAACAAAATAAACCCAGGAGCTCAGGCCCAGAGCGGGCACAGGTGCCACATGCTTTCTGCGAGGTGTGAGCTCCTTGTCAGCCCAGCGCCCTCCAGGACCAAGCCCTTGCTGATATTCTGTCGCTGGCCATTGCTTTGCCACGTGCAGGTGGATGTTCTGTGCCTGCAG